TATTTCGCTTTACGATGATGATTGATCATTGATGATGATCATGATGATCATGATCATCATGATCATCATGATCAACAGAGTACCTAGGGTGCAAAATCAAAGCTTATGAGAAACGGGAGGATATAATAGGAGTACCATCTTCAAGTTGGGGCAAATTCCAACTCTTCGTTCTGTGAATCATGCAACTCGAACTCGAGGCTCTTTGCAGATGAAGCACGCATACAAGTGACCATATCCCAGCAAATTGCTTGATAGGCGAGTTAACCTAGTTTGAGGATAACCGAAGATCAAAGCATTCGGTAAAATAACCTAAGGTGAATGAAGACAGATAGATAGATGAAGACAGAAGAAAACAGATGACCTACCTATCTATTGGAGAAAAATCCTTATGAAACCTGATGATGAACACAAACGATATAGTGAAAAGCTTATTTTCGTAACTTCGTCTTCAGGCGTTTACATTTGTGTGTGTGTGTGTGTGTGTGTTTATATCTAACGCAGAAATAAATGTGATTGGTCTATTGAGGTTAAGTGCGAAAATACAACAATGTCTGTTGGGTTTAATCGGAGCGAGTGGAGTAAATGGGGACAGGGAGCGAAGAGGGACCATGCTTGTTTGCTATATTGTGTCTTTGGATATTTCAAATGGGAATTCGTCGTGTATATGACAAATGAAGCGTGAACTGAAAAGCTAGGAAGCACTGGACAGCTGTTTCGACCTGGTTGGGTCTCTTTTGATATTTTTATGGGAAATTTCCATGAAACTTGATGATATTCACTTGGCCTGTTTATCCTTTCCAATGTGCTGACGGTAGCAACGCGAGTCGAGGCTGGCTGACTTTCTCTGTGAGACTACTGGGCAGCAAACGCACATTCTAGACCGTGAACTGGCATTCGACCTATCCAGGAGTTCGAACCGAGCAGCTCATGACAGCACACAATTTATTCAGTATGCCTCATTGGCTTCGAATAACACAAATAAGATAAATTGTGTAAATTATGAGAATTCTCGAATTTGGTATCACTTACGTGCAGTTAAATTATCCTGTGGAATGAGTAAGCTTCGTGAATATTTTCGTTGTTTTGTTCCCACGAACAGGGCGTTAAAGGGAGAGGTAATTTTTAAAGTTTTACTTTCCTGCTATAGGACCGAGTGTCGTAGTGCGGGATTGTGAGTTTGTTCTAGTGAAGTTCTAGTCACCCGGGAAGCCAGCATCAGCGCAATTTTGTGTCGCGCAACACCAACTTCGTCCGACAAGGTTAGTTAGTAACGGTCCCCGGTCCCCTTCACCTTTTGCAGTAAATTTCAGTGCGATTGTCATTAGCACAAATGAATCACAGCCGAGAAAACTTACGAACTGGTCATGCAAACCAGAACTATAAACTGAGAAACTAAAGGAGTATGACACGGTAACCGGAGCTCAAAAATTGTGTTGTGAACCCCGCTGTGACGTCTGATAAAAGAAAATCGTTTCATGTGAAACAATATATTGACCTATCCTCAATCCCGTTTACAAGTGATTGGAAATCCATTCGCTATCATACTCGTCAGTTTTTATTCATCTTCTGGAAGAAGACAGCATTCGTGGATTCTCCTACACATTCCCCAGCAAATTTGTAAGCAATTTCTACCATGCACAAACCGTGAGGACATACTTACCGTATGCTCATTCTTCATTTCTTGCACGAGTTTAACTTGCAAGAACTCTCTGCGTCCCCGGGCTTGTCTGGACGATCGAATCTGTGTGAGAGAGGGAGCGCAAAAATAATGAAAACGAAATTTAACATCGGGTATACGTATAGATACATCGGGAACGTAGTACATGACAACGTAGACCCACCATTTCTATCTTCCTCGATCTAAATGCGGCTTTCGACTCTGTCGACCGCTCTAAACTCTGACGCTGCCTTTCCCTGAAACGAGCGCCCGAGAAGTTTATTACAATATTACAATCCCTCTACAATAATAGCCGAAGCCGAGTTCGAGCTTACGACACTTTTTCACCTGAGTTCAAAACGAAAAGTGGTGTTCGACAGCGTCACCCTCTCTCTCTCTCTCCTTTTCTATTGAACTTCGTGATTGATTTAATTCTTGAAACAGCCGTATCCTCGTGCGAGGACAGCGCTGTCAATTTATTCCCAAGTGGCAGACTGTCTGATCTAGAGTACACAGACGACATTGTGCTACTAAGTGAAGATCCAGGTAAATCGCAAGCTTCTCTGGTTAGGTTGAGTGCTAGTGTTGTCATGTTCGGCATGCATTTGGCACCTTCAAAGTGTAAATTGTTGCTCCCCCTGACTGAGAAAGTAGTAGAGGAAGGAGACAAATTCTGTGATCTGGGTAGCTATATCTCACCTGGCGGACGCATCGCAGATGAAGTGTCGGCGAGTATACAAAAAGCTCGGTTGGCATTTGCCAACTTGAGACATTTGTAGCGCCGTCGTGACATCCGTCTGTCTGTGAAGGGTCGAGTGTATGCCGCAGCAGTTCGGCCAGTACTGCTCTACGGTGCAAAGACTTGGTCACTACGGGAACAGGATAAAAATAGACTGTCGGTGTTCGAACACCGCTGTCTACGTCGCATTGCACGAGTCTGGTGGGGTAACCGGATGAGCAATGCTGAGGTTAGGCGTAGAGTTTTAGGCGATCGCGGTCGTCCACTGGAGCAAGTGATCGACCTGTATAAATTACGTTGATTTGGGCATGTGTTACGCATGTCATCAGATAGGTTGCCGCAGCGAGCGATGTTTGCCGAAGCAGGTAATGGTTGCAAAAAGATCAAGGGAGGTCAAACTAAAACCTGGCACGATGGTATGGAAACACTAACCAGGATTCTAGATCACATAGGCCGCGTTAGGCTCCCTGGCTGGAGACCTCGGGATGATGGTCACCGACGGTTAGACACACTGAGTGATATATCTGATTGTCGCAAACAGTGGCACTCATGCATCCACTCATTATTCCCTTATCACTACTCTCTATGAATTCTTCATCTTCCGTTTGAATTTGCTTGCAGCATTCCAATCTTCATTCTGCTTTTTTATCCAAATGGGGCACCGAAAGACAGCAACCAAAACCGGCGTACGAAAGTGCATGATTAATGGTTGTAAAACCTGAAACTGAAACATGACAACGTAACAGGTTTTGTGCATGAGGACTTCGGTTAGAGCTTTTTATGAGATTCACACAATTAATCGCAAGTAACATCAATGAAATGTGTCCTAAGTAAAGGGTTAACTGATGGTTAAAAAATTAGGGTTGTGTGAATGGACGAGCACACGAACAATACGCTTCCGTATGCATGAGACAGGGTTTACCCTTAGAATGACCATGAGTATGGCTATGCAAAAACGATTTTCGGATTCCAAATGCCTAACGACGGAGAATGTACCGTTAAGATCGCCTGTGTGGCCAGTTCCATGCAATGATCCTGTTATAACAGTAAGAAAGCATTCCCCTTGTGACTTCTCAAGCCGTTCGCGAACGCATTCTTAGTCTCCAGTGCTTGTTTTACCTACATATGATGTAACAGAATGTTGACACCTCGCGACATCTGTTTTTCTCGATCATGGTGCAGTGATTAAATGAGATATTGTACTTCAGATTTTTAAATTGAACATCTGCGGTTTCTACCATGATTGTGGCTCACATCACATTGCAAAAGCATGATCGAATGAACTCATCTTCAGTTGTTCAACAATTGACCCGTTACCTCTCGAAGATGCTTATGGAGGAGAACGTACATAAAATGATTGTGGTGGGGATCGCTACATCTCATACAGAGGACTCAATAGCCCCGAGGAAGAAGCTTATTGAAACTAAATAACGACTGACCG